AAATGAAAAAAGAAAGACTGGGTTTTTTTTTTCTGCCAGAGGTTATTTTATAGCTTATAAAACGTTCTTAAATCACAATACATTTTTTGTTTGAAAAGTATTTAAATAAAAATACTTTCAATTATTGGATGTCCTTTTACTTCCAGTCAGCCAAATAAAAGTATATGATGTTATCCTAGCTACATCTGTAAAATCTGTTAAAAATTTCCTCCAGTGAGCTTGGTTGGCTATTTCATTTTATATCCTAGAGGTTCCACTTCAAAATTTATGGCTGACTTATCATCATTACTTAGTTCAGATTAATTTTAAATTAGAATATATAATACTGCTCTTCACTAACGACAATCCATGCAGTACATAGCCAGTTCTATCACCTTTTTACTAAGAATATTTCAGAATCAAAGGAAATTGGAAACTTTGAATAATGTGTTATTTAAACTGTTCTATACAAACTACAAAGTATATTTCACAGCCAGCTCACATATTAATTCTGTAATATTCCTCCTATTCCAAATCTCTAAGTAAATGAATTACTGTCCTGGCTTTCATACTGCCTTTAGCTGGATGTGTCACATTGCCAAATGGCTAAATATACAGCTTCAGAAGTCACAATTTGTGTTCATTAGCTATCCACTGCCTACATTGTTTGTTATATTTAGAAGTAACAACAGCAACTTTCCACCTTCATTTTTAATTCTTAGTTTCTCATAGTAGACTATTTTGCTGGGGAATGGAGCTAGGAGATGGAAGTAGGTAATCATCTTCTCCAAATTTCTAAAATTATTAGTAAAATAAACATGTTTGGAACAATTGGACAGTGTACCTTGGGATGAATAGATTAAAGCAGAGCATTTTCATTATGTCTTTGGCAATCACCCTTTTATCTCATCTTGTGATGAACATCTGTATTTTTTGGCACATTGTTAGAATACAAATGTGGGGTGTATCTGAACAAACTCTCAATTATAGTTCTGCTCAGATGAGATTTCAAAATTATGTTTTCTACTTTGTGGATGATATTTACTGTTACGGTAGCAACTGTGTGAAAAAAAAAAATCTAACACATTTAATATTCCGTTCTGGATTCGTGTATCAGTTATTTAGCTAAACCTTCTGTTAGTAGTTTTTGGGTTTTTTTAAAAACATGTACCAAATGTTTATAAAAAGAGAAAGAGATTCATCAAGTCACAGTAGCTAAAGCTGTACTAAAAAGAAAAAATGAACAAACATATGTTACCAGCAGTGTTTCTCATATTTCATGAATAAAAACATATTCTGTTTTGTTGCAATTGTCTTTCCTTGTACAAATAAAGGCCCTGATCCAATAAACTTTTATAAGTATGATTTTGATTTACACTATTTAATGTATTTTCTGTCTTTAAGACCCTTTTGCATTTCTTTGAGAGATCCTGGAGGAGGTGGGAGACTGGTGTTTAAGCATTTACTTAATTTTTGGCTCACCGGGAGTCCATAGAATTCCCTTGTCCAGAGCTCAGCATGTGCAGCAGCATTGCAGAACGAGAGCCAAAAGTAGGAAAAAAGCCTGAATTTAAAAAAACCAGTTGATTCCTGCCCCCCCCAGTGAGTGAATCATTTAGTGTTGGTCTGTGGCTCTGACTGCGGCTCTGGCACCGTTCCCGCAGCTGTTACAGCCCCTATTCCACTCGGGAGAGTTTTCAGGAAATTGTGTTGTCATGGATCCTTCTGCTCAGCTCCAATCTGCTCCGTGCCCAAAGTCCCCTGTGCAGCAGAGTAAGAAATCCCCGGCAGGCCCAAGCTGCGTGAGGCATGAAAGGCTAGAACTTCTGTGCAACCTCCCCTAATTACTCCATGGGATCATCTTAAATAAGGTTTAAAAAAAGAGCGTAAGCAAATCCAACAGTTGAGGCATAAGAAGGTGGGGACTGTGCTCTTCTAAATTGGTCTTTCTAAATGTCCCTAGTTCTTAGTCATAATCCAGACTGTCTAGACTTACCAAGTTAGAAACAGGCATGTTTCCTTCAAGACTGAGCAATTTAATTCAGCCAGGGTTTGTTTTTTTCCCCCAATTGTTTATGTTACTAAACTAGAGCTGTTTTGAGGATGGCAGGCACCCATCAGAAAGAAACAAGGCTAAAGTTAGCAACAAAGAGACACGCTGACGAGTAGTGCCGTGACTGGGATCACTACTGCAGCTGCTCCCTTCCTACGTGCGTTGGCCGTCTTCATGTGGTTCAGGTTCCACCTATGGAAAGGATAAGTGAACAGGCAGGAAAAGGAAATCAGGTCCAGAGACGGGGCCGTCAGTGGGCTGCTCCAGTCTGGAGGCAGTGTGAATTGCCTGATCCTGCACGGAGAGTCAAAAAATCATCTTAGCCATAGGTAGGAAAATGCTGTTTCAGGGGGTTCCCAGCAATGACTGTAAGGAGTCGGTTTGCTGGCCTAAGGGATTTGAACATTGTGAATTGTCTGGATTATTTTAACAGCACAGACAAAAAAAAATGAGCATTCGGTGTTCTTCACATAGCTTCTGTCAGAGGGTGTTTGGAAATACATCCAAACAAGGTAAGATCTGAATAAATATCAAGTACGCGCAACAATAGATAGTGGCAGCAGCTACTAAACTGCTTACAGCAACATTTAATACTTTTGAAATGGTTGTTCACTGCTTACAGCTGATAGGTGTGCTTTAGAGATGAATGCACGTTTGCCAGAGGTCCTGCCATTTAGGGACTGGTCCTCGGTTTGGCCCTTGGCTGGTGGAAACCTTCTCATCCACACTGACACCCTGTCAGCTTGCTGGTGAGCGTGGTGGGGAGCAGTCTTGGTACCCTTGCCCTGGTACAGGAGTGCTAGGCACCACCAGGACCGTCCAGTGTCCCAGCTCCAAGCCTCTTGCTATGGAAGGGAACTGTATAACATGGTGTTCGCCAGTTGTCCTGAAGCCATGCTTAATACCAGATGAAACGTGAAGAATATGAAGAATTTTTCTTAGCCAGTACCTAATACGGTTACTAGGTCTGAAGAAAAGCATAGAGAAATAAATAAAACCTGCTTATAGCTACCTGAACTTCAGCTGTGCATGAGGAGCTTTCCATCAGCTGTGTAAGCAGGAGTAAGCTGTTAGGATGCTTGTATAATTTTGTGGCTGGGAGCCAGGGCTTACAACCAGGCTACTCTCTTTCTCTAAAGAGAATTCTGATGTGGGGTTGTGTTTTTCCAGCCCTTCAACTGAGTTCTATTCAGATGTAAATTTTATCCTGCTAAAGAGTCAGAAAAAGTGTCAGAACTACTGACCCTGCCAAGGTCAAAGGCAAACTTTTTATTTTATCAGCCAACGTTACTACGTTGGTGTGGCAAGACTTCTTTTCTCTCCAGACAGTAAATAGGGGTTGTACATGATTATCAGCTACATCACTTGAAGCAAATTCTGAGGAAAGCATTCTCTTCTGACTGACCGGACAAGGTTTGACTCTCTGCATAATCCTTTATATACTGAATGTGGAGTTTGTATAAATAAATTGAATCATGCATTACAGTTTTCACTGTATGCTTATCCAAATGTACATCAGTTTTACCTTTTGCACAAGACTAGACATGATAGTCATCCAAATATTTTGGCCTGAAGGTGTGTTTGAGGAATACTCCACCAGTTGTGAAGTTTCATTTTGTTTTATTTTTCTATCAGTTTTCCATTGAGTATTTGAAGCGTTTGGGTTTTTTACCCAACCCATTTAAGTGTATACTTATGGAAACCAGTAGTTTTACATGTATTAGAAGATCCATTTTAAATTTTCCCTTCTGTGAGAAAGAGAGAAACCATTCCATGCAGCAAATGTATAACAGATGCTACTCCTAGCACGTACTGCACTACTGGACAATGGCCAGATACAGTGGTTATAGCATAGCTATTACTATGATAGAGCAGGATAAAAGAGAGCTATGTAAGTAATGTGTTAGCTTCCCTGCCCACCACCTTGTCCACACAAATAGGAAGGAGAAGAAAATTCTTAAGTCTGTCAACTATCTACCTCCCCACAACCACCCACCTTAAAAAATGGCAGAATAATAGTGCATGTCTGAATATGTTGAATGCTGTGAGTCCATCCCAACTAGACCACACCAGGGCTCAGAAAATCTGAAAAATTCACAAAAAGTGAATCTGAAAAAAAAAGTGAATCTGAAAAAGTTCACAAAACCCACCTTCTTTCCATCTCCATATCCCAGGATAAATTTGCCAAGAATGCATAGCTCTAGAAGCCTACTGAAATCAGTATGGTGGAAAGGGGAATTCATCTCACCTAACCTAAGCCATCAAGAAGCCAAACACCTAGGCGAAGGCAGTCATCTAGACTCTTTTCACAGTTAACAAAAATAAACGCACCTCTAGAACGCATTCATCCTACTCATCTTAGTTTGAGCTGAGATAAATCCCACCTGTAGTGTTTGGGGTCACCTAGTGAATTGGTGGCCCAGACATAAAACTTACCTCTTGAAGTCAAGTGTTGGGTTTTGCCATTTGACCGCTCACTGGTTCCTTTGGAAAGTTAATCTCAGAAAACGGATCCTTTTCAAACAGTAGAGAAGATCCTTCCTGTCTGAAAAAAAATGTTTTCATTTTAGAAGGTAGGAAGATATTTTTGAGACAAATCACCAACTAGAGGTTGGGGAAAAAACCTTCTGGTGGTAGTTTTCCCTCTGGGCACACCCTGTGTTGGAAAGCACAGGAAATGAGCAGTTACTGTAACTGACTTATGCAGCTTATAAATGTCCCTTGTGCTCCGTATACGTTTGCCTTACTTCACTAACCACCACACAAATCTCACCTGCAACTCTGAAAGATGTCTTTAAAAAAGAAGAGGCAAAGTCCCTTAAGCATTAATCATTTCCACATGTAGGAAATGTGACTGTTTTGCGCGTGATTGCACTTTAAACCAGAAATCATTGCACAGAATACAGAACAGATTCAGTATGAACCTTCTAAAATAAATGAACCTTAATTTCTTTTGTATTTTTTAAAGGTCAAGTGCTGCAAATACTGGCCAGATGACACAGAGATATATAAAGACATTAAAGTAACCCTAATAGAAACAGAGCTCCTGGCTGAATATGTGATTCGAACATTTGCAGTAGAAAAGGTAAGTTTCCAAATTCGGTTTTCTTCAGTACAACGGTATCTGCCTAAATAACTAATATAACAGGTTCAACACAGGAAAGTTAAATCTTTTGACTGACATCCCGGTTTTGTAGCTATTCTTTGGGTAAACGACTACCGCCCTCTTATGGTAAACTGTGTTTTTCTTTAAATGCAGCGACTTTTCTGTGCTTTCTGTCACTGTTGGCCCCTGCCTGAGTTAGAAAAAGTGATGTTCCTTGCCTAGGAGAAATCGAAGCCTCTCTCCCAGCAATCAATTGAAAAACACATTCGTGCTGTTTTCCCATCTTATGTTCCCCACAATCATTTTCTGTCTGTACCAGAGGCTGCATGCACCATTATTCAGAAGTCCATGGTGGAGAATACTGTTATCTGTTGGGCCGGTGTGTTCCTAGTCTGCAGAGACATAGTTGAAACAAACTAATTTTCTTCTTAAGGCAATTTCACTTTTCATCTGGAATCCATTTTTATATGGAGAGTTCCAATCAGCATGTTGTATTCCTGTTTATTAGAATAATGACATGAATTTGTTTGACGCTTACTAGATCTTGTAGCTCTCCCAAACAGCTTACAATATATGGACAACATACAATTAGCAAATAACGTATTTGCTGAAAGTGAGAACAAGCAGGGTCAGTCAAAATCCGTGTGTCCCACATTTTGTGTCAATTCTGGGGTTTTATTCAGACCATTAAAGGATAGAAGTGTTTTAATTGTATGTATCAATACTCATTTGAGTTGCAAAACAATGAGGAAAGAGCCTCTTTGGAAGATTTGATATTCCTAATGGTGCACTGAGTAACATTCTCTCAGTATCACCATGAGTAGATTTTCAACTAATTAGGTTAGAAAACTCCATTTGATTTAGTTGCAGTGCCTGTGATACACTGGTTCTCTCTAATGACGAAATAGTATTCAACTATGATTTTGAAGAACATAATCTTTAGCATCAAAGAATCCTGCACCTAGGTAGATGAAACTGCCAAAAAGATGACCCAACAAGGTCTCTGTACATGCATCCACAGTAACAAAGAAATTAGTTTTTTTCCTGTTTTATTCTTCAATCTAATACTTAAATTTGCATCAATACAGCAACCTGAGGGTAATGATAATAGAATTACGTGGTTTGAACGAACTGAAATATTGTATCATGTTTACCACTATACATATGGTACATCGAATTCATTCAAGCCTGTTGTTTCCTCGCATTTAGATATTTTTAATAAACAGATGAGAAACGGTGGCTACACTTTGAAGTAGATGAAGCACTGGTTGATTTCTATTCTGCAAATTTTAAGCCCATGCTTTGATGTTAGCTTTTCACTTCTTAACTGGGACCGGAAAAAAAAGACCTAGAGGATTTTACAGTTGATCATAACCAAACTGTCTTGAATAAGTGCATTAGAACAGATAGAGATAAAAGGCACTAAACATTTTTTTTCTCAAGAAAAATCTCCATCTGAAAAGATTTCATTTAGACACTGTTTTTTAATAGTTGGTAGTCTTTCAGTAAGCCCCTAAAAGTGGTGTCAGTGTAGTTTGAGTAAAGTACATTTGTTTTTACCCTACTTTCCGTATTTTTTAACTCTTCCAACGGTACTGGAAGGTCAAGTCTAAACATGTCTTCCACCATAATTCTCTCAAGTTTATATTTCTGATCTGCTGGGACTGATACTTTTCAGCCTCTCTAAGTCAAGCTGCATGATGAGACAGAGTGCACCCTAACCAAACCTGCAGATAATACAAAGCGAAGGGTGGTGTTGAAATGCTGAACATTGGAGCCTTAGTTCCAAAGGACGTGAAAATTTGGCCAACAGAAATTTCAGTAATTCAACGAGGAAAAATGCAAAGTTCTGTGCCTTAGGTAGCCTAGCCCCATGTGTCAGTACAGGCTGTGACATCCTGGGACAACATCTGACATCCAAGATGATTACGTATGTAGGACATACGAGCTGCAAGGGGAGGTTAAGAGAGTTGGCTTTGTTCAGTGTAGTAGAGATGAGGAGGAGAGGTGGGGAGGATCTAACTGCAGCCTGTGACTACCTCAAAGATGTTCAAGAAAATCAGGGACACCAAATTCTCATTCTTCTCCACGGTAATGGAGGGTAAAACAAGGGACAATGGCCAAGAAGTTGCAGCATGGAAGACTTGCACTGGAAAAACTCCTTCAGAAGGAGAGTAGTGCAGTGCTAAAGCAGGTTACTCAGAAAAGTTGTGGAGTCTCCATTCTTGGAGGTCATCTGGGCTCAGCTAGACAGATCCACTGGTGACCTGATCTAGTGTTGGCCATAGACCCACTCTGATTGGGAGGTTGGACTGGAGACCTCCAGAGGTTCCTTCTGACCATCTTTTCTATTTGTGGATGAACATCTCATACCTGCTCGTAAAATACAATTTAGAAGTTGATTTCTTTGGAGATAAACTGATGACTTATTTTTTTAAATGGCTGTTTGGTAATTATTGAGAACTAGGGGGATAATATTAAGAAAATGGAACCCAAAGTTACACTCCGATTCTGAAAACCACTTCCTAGATACTCTTTACATTGTGTGCATAAGCAGTTCCTTTGGAGCAGTTCCTTTACAGCACAACAGTTAACTCAGATGAATTACTCAGATAGTAACATACAGCAGCACTGTAAGTATTTGTAGGATTAAGGTCTGCATTTTTTAACATCCTGCATTTTGCTAGCAATGTACACCATTTTCTATTTGTTTCAGCTGACAGCAAAAGTAAAAAATACAGTCTTTCCAAGCTGAGCATATGCTTTTATGATTCATGCAGTTGTGTTGCTATTTTAGGTTTAGAAACCAGCAGGGAAGCTACAGACATGAAAATCATTCTTTTGTAGGTATAATAAGCAAACTCATTATAAAAGTACCCTATATGCAAAACTTTTTCTAAGCAGCTGTTACCAACGGTAGACAAAAATGCAGTCAGCATGACAGACAGCATTTTCAAAACCAATGCACAAGATACACAGGCTATATCCTGATCTGTGCAGCAGCTTGGCACGTTATTTTGGAGGGGCAGTTTGCTTTTTCTAAGCTGCTTGCAAATCAAGGCTGCGTACAACACGAAGAATTTGTGTGGGGTACTCCTTTCAGTCCTCAGTTTGTATAGTCATGGCACTGCTGTTTTTTGTATGGGAACTTTGTTTCTTAGGGGATTGTGGGCAGTTGTTACGAGCAATATAAAAGTGTTTGGGACATGGATACCCCACCTACGCACAGCTATTTGTGGAGATGGAGGCCTTGCTTACAGTAGCAAAAAGCTGTGTTAACTAACACAAAAACCCCCAGAGTACAGAGACCAAACTGTATGTGAATGTGTTTGCTAGACTGACTTAAAATGCAAATTACTTTGTCTGTTCCTGGGTTTCAATATGTTTTAAAATTGGTTTTATTGCATTTCTGTTGCAAGGGTGTGAGCTCCTCGGTATACGCTCTTCATCTTCTCCCTTGCCTGCCTTTTTGTGGCACAGTTTCCGAGGGAGATGTGTGTGGATATTCCTCTGAGCAGATGCCCAGTCTCCACAGACCCTCCAGCCTGAGCTGTCGGAGCATCAGGACTCCAAGATACACCAAGCCCACTCCAGTCATGTAGCACTGGCACAGCCAAAATTTCTCAACCATTGAAAATCCCAGACTTTTAGCTTGCATACTAGAATAAATTAGGAAGTTTATATTACTTCATTATGCAAAAAGGATTAGACCTTTTATATGCAAACCAGCTCAAGAGAGGAAATACATCTTTAAGAGGAAAAACTGTATACCACCAGTTATTAATATCACTGACATTTAGTCCAGCCTAGACATGATATGTCATAATTTTACTGTTTGCTTATGAAATATGTATGATGGCCTCTGGTCTGTGGATTTCTAATGAGAATAAAATACTGGCAGCTACATTTTCAGACGGGAAGGGGAAATAGAAGCACTAAGAAAATCAAACTTAGCATACACACCTCTAATATCCAGATTGCTCCAGAAAGTCACATGGGAAATTACTTACACGATCAGCTTCTCATTCATACCTGTCTAACCATATCCATGTCCTTGTAGACTGTGGCAGAACACTTGAAGGGTGAGCATGCGGAGGGCTACAAACGCAGCAAAATGGAGGTGCAAAAAGGTTTCCTACTATTCAGCTGTTTCTTTCAGACCAATGAAGGAGACAAATGATAAGGAAAATTATGCTGAAATTGTAGTTCCCTGAAGTCAGCAGCAAAACTCCTGTGGAAAGCAGTGGGGAAAAAAGTGCCATCTGTGCTATGTGTTCATGGCCTTGCTGCTGACCTGTGCCGTGATCATAGCATGCATCTTAAGGCCACAGTTTTCAAAGCAACCTAGTGCTTAAATGTAGAGGAGAGTGTCTATCTTGTGCTGAAAGTTTCTAACCAATCTGGTGCTAAATTGTTGTAAGGCTTTCAAACCAGTTGATCTATAACCGTTGAACTTGGTTTCCTGCTATGAGAAAGCTCTCCAACAGTCTATACAGATATGGGTATTAGTAGGAGGTGAATGTTTTTCAGAAAGGCTCAAGCTGTTGAAGTTAAATTCTTACGATGTCTCTCGTACAATTTCTTTCACATTCCAGCTTGTTTTTCTTTTTCAACCCTTGTCTTGTCTTTTCAACAGAGAGGTGCTCATGAGATTCGAGAAATTCGGCAGTTTCACTTCACTGGCTGGCCAGACCACGGTGTACCGTACCATGCGACAGGCCTGCTGGGATTTGTACGGCAGGTCAAATCCAAGAGCCCACCAAACGCTGGCCCTCTGGTTGTGCACTGCAGGTAAGCAGAACAGTAATGCCTCCGTTGTCTTGTCCACTAAACTCAGAACCTACTTTTGCTTCTCCTGGACTGTGTAATCCCCAGACAGGTTGCTGGAGCCACTGCAGCGCTACCCACAAGAACGTAATACCTAAAATATAAACAAGAATGGCAAAACTGAGTCTGAAATTCTGCAATGCAAGACTTAATTTCAGTAATCATTAAGTACCTGCAAGATGAACCCTTGCATTTTACATTTTCCAATACACTCCTGAACATTAACTGTGCTCTTCTTTTACTTTAGTGCTGGGGCTGGCAGAACCGGGTGTTTCATTGTTATTGACATCATGCTAGATATGGCAGAAAGAGAAGGCGTTGTAGACATATACAACTGCGTGAGAGAGCTTCGATCTCGGAGAGTTAACATGGTGCAGACTGAGGTATTGTTAATCTACTGGAATACTGCCTTACACTTTGCAAGAAAAATATTCTTCTGGCCCATAAAGCTAGAGCTGCTTTGTGGTAGGCACCATCCAGAAGGTAGTTTATTCAATCATATGCAGAAAACAATCCACACGTAAATGTGAAGAACCGCTGCCCAAACAAGTGCCCAGTTATGCTGGCCTTAAGGTTCACAATGTTTTGTTTTTTTTTTTAAATGAAAATGATGAGTGTTTCTTCTCCAGGAAGGATCCATTCTGGAGTACATCTTGTTGAGGCTCAGTTATGTGATGATGCCTACAGAATTCTGCAGAGGAATGAGGAAACCAGAAACATTCCGATTTTCATTACAGAGTGTCACTGCACTTCTGTTTATATTTGTAACTAGTTTGAGACAATCCTTTTACATGAATTTCTAAATGAATGGCATAAAGTTTTGTGAACTGGTGCTGTCACTTCTAGTCTTGCTTCAGTGCCACTAAAGTCAAAGAGAATTAGTGGCAACCATATTAGTGGTGATATTTTATTTACCAAAATACTAATCCCGTATGCTGTCTATGTCAGTAATCATTCTAATTGCTTTACCAGGAACAGTATGTATTCATCCATGATGCTATCCTGGAAGCCTGTCTTTGTGGAGACACATCTATTCCAGCTTCTCAAGTTAGGTCTGTTTACTATGAAATGAATAAACTGGATCCTCAAACTAACTCCAGCCAGATCAAAGAGGAATTTAGGGTAAGTTGTGGCTAGCAGTACCTAGTATCCATGCAGTTCAGCTATACTAAAGACTTCTACTTAAGTGCTTGCTTATAACCATGTGAATTTTGGACCAGTCCTGGGAGGGAAAGACTGAAAAAAAAAGGGAAAATAGCATGTTACTAATTGCTACTGAATTATGCAAAATCATTAAAAAGTGCAATAGAGTAGTAGTTAAATCTTTTTACTCAAGGGAAGTATGTCAATTCCTTCCACTGTCCTTTCTTCAGAAAGCAGGTTACTCTGCAGCTGTCTTTGGGGTTATTTTTCAGATCTGTATGCTTCCACGATTTTTTGCTTCCAAACCCTGCTGACTGTGATGTGTTTTCATTTCTCTGCATATTGATTCCCACTGAAACTGAACACTGAGCTGATCTATTCTTAAATATTTTGGGATGCTTTCACTTCTGTGTTAATTTTTCTGTTTTATTTATCTTTTTGAAAGACTTTAAATATGGTGACTCCGACACTGCGTGTAGAAGACTGCAGCATAGCACTTTTACCACGCAATCATGAAAAGAATCGCTGTATGGATGTTCTGCCTCCAGACAGATGCCTGCCTTTCCTCATAACGATAGATGGGGAGAGCAGTAACTACATTAATGCTGCACTGATGGATGTAAGTCTCCACTACATCATCAATAATAAAAAGGGAATAAGCAGCCCTCCAAACTGAGCAATGCCAGAAAGTGGAGTCAGCATAAGAAAACTGAAATCCTTCTAGCATGTTTTCCAAAAACACAGCACAAAATCTTTAAACTCCCAAGTACATTTAGGATCCCACATATGTTATGTCACAGCCAAGGTTCCAAAGCCATGCTCAGAGAGCAAGTCAAGGAGTTTTGATAGATGAAACGTGTCTAAATTTCTCCCTAGTGCTTGAATTTTTAAGCATCCGGCCTAGGAAAAAAAAGAGTTACCTATTAAGGCACTGTGGCAGTTAAATAGGATAATAAGGTTTGCAGCAATATTTTAGTTCCCCTTGGTTTCTAATTTAAATGGTAATTAACAAAAAAAAATTGTCTATCAGCAAAGATAGTACACAAGCCATTACTTCAGTCTTTCCATTTATTTCTGTTTGAATGAATGGTTCCTCTTCATGTGTGTGTGGAATTCTTTTCTAATGCATCTATGGTATTTCTAATCTTGCTAATAGAATATCAGTAAAAAGACACTTAAACCGCCTTTACAGTCTGTAGATATTTATAGCCTATCTTTGACAATTTAAAGCTATAGTAATTACAGTTGTCAAACACATAAACAACAAGAAAACAGAGGTTAGCAAAGAATGAACACATTGTAAATGGCCTTTTTGAAAAGTAAAGCTAGAGTAATAACAGTTTATCGCAGTTTCCACGTTTCTTTCTGTCCAAGTTCTTAAATCATTTTGCTAAAATAAGCCTAAGTTCAGAACGCTCCTGTGAAAAGGTAAGTGTATTACCTTTATGTTTGTCTGTGTTGAGAAACTGAGAACAAAAGTTTAAGTGACTTCTCTAGGTTCTCATAGCAGGTCAATGACATTTCATACTAGAACGAAGCTGCCTTGATCTGCAATTTACAGTCTGGCCATTACATTGTCTTCTTTCCCGGAGAGTTCAGTACTGGTTTGTTCTGCAAATTAAGTACTGCTCAGAAAGAGCAGTGCCTCAATATTTGCTTTGAAAATGCTTCCCTTCTTCACTGTTGAAACAATGAGCTGGATCCAAAAGCGTGTCTGGGCGAAAGGATCTGAGGGAGGAGGTGACTTGGGTCACTTTCCACCTGAAGCACCTTAGCCAGGCTCCTGCAATATCCCTGCACTGAAGGAGAAGAGCAGACATTTGTCCCTCTCTAAACATCCAGTCTCCAGCAGGCAAGATTATGTGTTTCATGCCCTCCACTTGCGTCAGCTGAGATGCAGTTGGATCACCTCATGTAAGCTTTTACAGCTCTTCAAGCAAAAGGGGTAGCAAACATAATTTTCATTATTCAGTATTAGAATGAGTTTGAGAATGATTTTCCCCAAGAAACTGCTGGGGAGTCAGGGAGTAACGGAGAGCCCTTCGAGCATCTCTCATCTGCATGCCACTTCCAGCAAAATAGGACCAGTAGAATAGAAGGCAGCTGACTGATGTACCAGCAGCGTTGATACCTGCTGGTTGCACTTTGCTGAAACCAAAGCAAAGAACTGAAGTCTTACATGTCTTCATCTGTACCGCAAAACACATTGGATTAATTTTCTGTGGTCTCTTCAGTGACTGTCTCTGAAAAAAAGATGCAAATAGCTGATAAAGTTGTATCTCTGTAGTGGTGCAACTACTTTAGTTCAGTGCATGTAGAGGCTTCTCTGCACCCCTTTAATGAAGGCGATGGCAACCTCTCCCAGCTGCCCCAGTATGGCCACACTGGCCTTCAACACTCAGGAGGACATAATTGAAAATATTAGTAAGAGATTCACAATGGAGCAGTTCCACCAAACAGCTCAGTCAACAACATACTCTGGTACTAAAAAAAACCCAAAGAGCACTGAATTTTATCCCCTGGGTATTCTCACTACTGTCAGATAGACCAGAATTTCAACAATATTTCTGAAAAATAACTAGATATTTCCTTTCATGGGCATCACTCAAATTAACAGCTAAGTGCAGACAGCCAAGATTAATCTGTCCATTAACAGCTCAAAACAAAACTGTTGCTCAGAATTTTCTAGGAGTTGCATTGGAGGCAAAAACCTCTGATGATTTTACTCTATGCCTATGGCATAAAATAAGTTTTAGAAATATAATATCTGCAAAAATTATATTCCGCCTAAGTACAGTTTATTAACTTTGAAGCATATAAGATCTTGGGAAAGAGCTGAAAACAATGTATTAATTACACAGAAACTAGAAATAAGGCTTTCAGTCCCAAAGCTTTGGGGCTATGACTGGCATTCTGCTAAATGGATTTTTATCTTTTACCATTCTTCTCACCATCTCTTGTTATTTCTTTGCAGAGCTACAAGCAACCATCAGCTTTTATAGTTACGCAGCATCCCTTACCAAATACTGTCAAAGATTTCTGGAGACTGGTCCTAGATTATCACTGCACTTCAATAGTTATGCTAAATGATGTTGATCCAGCACAAGTAAGTCCAGAAAACTGCTCCAGTCAACAGAGGAGTACTAGTGCCTCAGCATTTCAGCAGATGTGGGCTTCAGAACAGCTTTAGGACATGATTAGTTTTATAAAACAACATTATATACTAACATACTAAAAAATTGATTTGTAGAGGAATAAATCAGACCATCAGCAGGTTCTCCACCAAAATGTTAATGTAAACACACATAAGTGCATGCACCCATAATTTATTCTGATAAGAAAACATGCTTTGGGAAAAGCTGCTAAAAACCAAAAATGATGGTTGTAGAATTCTGACTCAAGTCTCAAACACACTAATAACAGCCAAAAGTCATAAACAGAAGCCAACAGCTATTCATTAGCTTGCCTGAAACAGGTCAATGACCTTGGTCTGTTTACCAGGGGATAGGTGTTCCCAGTGTGAAAATCTGTGTTATGTTTGGCACAAAGTGACATTGTTAGCAAGGAGATAGGAACTAAACAAGATTGGAGACTAAGCATCCTTCAGAATAGAAAACAGGACAACAAAGTGTACGGGGGAATGTAATTACCTTACAAAAGAGTTGTGCATGCTGTACATGTTCTTTAGAAAATTGGAAAACCGTACCTACTGATTTGGCAATTTAATCACTAGCATTAATCACTAAGCATCCTAGAGCCTGGCTGGCAACTGCGCAATTCCAAGTTTTTACACGGATATAATTTCCTTGGTTCCAACAAGCTGCACCAGACGTCTGCTGGAATAATGTGGTGGTAATCTGGATTCTTAATATGTAAATATTTGCTAATTATTAGTTAAGAGCAATTTTTATTTATTATGGCAGACTGCATGTCATTTTTATTCTTGATAAGATCAAGGATCTTTTTTGCTTTGCTGTGTATTGTACATATTTAGAAAAAATGTTTCCTCTTGCTTCTTTTTAGCATGAAGAATTTGTTTTTAAAACATACTAATCTTCCGTTTTGTCTTTCAAAGGAATGTGTAGAAATTCCACACACTATTTTAAAGACTGAATTTCTGATTCCAAGCCCTTAAGTGTCTATAGGGAGAAAAATAGAAATGAAAGACAAAACTTTTATTCATGAGTCTAAGATTATTTTCTGAGTGAATAAGGAAAGACTCAAGGGAGTCAGAGTGTTAGGGGCTGCTGAACAGAGTTTTTTTAATTTGTAGGCTGTGTTTTGAATTTACAATAGTGCATGGCTATTTCAAGCCTTTATTAGCCTCACAGGCTTTTAAAAGCCACTGGGATATGCAGTTAATGCACCTGCCTCTGCAGTATGTTAAACCTTTTCCCTCTAATGTGAGTAACAGTCTTTTCATTAGGAATAAATCACAAAACCCTCAGAGCAAACAGAAGTGGAGAGAGGGTAGAGCTTATTAAAAACACGCATTACATTCAGATTTATTAATAATTACTGTTAGCATTATTATTTATGTATATATGGAGTGTTTACAGTTCTGTTTAGGTATTACAATTTATATGTGGATCGCTATGCTCTATAGGGAAATTAAATTCAGCCCTTCACAGTGACTCTGGCTTAAAGAGAGTCGCTAGCATCACATGCATGCAAAATGCGCAGACCTAAATGCTTTTGGTTTCTTTAGAACCTGAAGATACTGGCTTCCTAAAACAACTCCAGCAAACAGCTCTGCGTATTATAATTTAGGCGTTTTTCAAAGATCTGTTAGAACAGTATTTCTGTGTATTTGAAAGACGTGAACTAAATTGTGCACATGTCAAATGATCTGAGCGCTGGCATCGGCATCAGCTGCATGCATGTCAGCGTCGTGGTTTAGCCCCAGCCGGCAGCTGAGCCCCACGCCGCCGCTCGCTCGCTGCTCCCCGCTGGGACGGGGGAGAGAAGCGCAAGGGTCGAAGTCAGAAAACGCGTGGGTTGAGATAAAGGCAGGTTAACAGGGAAAGCAAAAGCTGCGCACACAAGCGAGCGAAACAAGGGATTCATTCACCACTCCCCACGGGCAGGCAGGTGTTCAGCCATCTCCAGGGAAGCAGGGCAACATCACACATAACAGATACCTGGGAAGACAAAGGCCATCACTCCAAATGCCCCCCTCCCCCGCCTTTTTCTTCCCCCAGCTTTACATGCTGAGCGTGACATATGATGTGGCATTCCCCTTCGGTCAGTGGGGGTCAGCTGTCCCGGCTGCGTCCCCTCCCAGCTCCCCGTGCACCCCCAGCCTGCTCGCTGGTGGGGTGGTGTGAGCAGCAGCAAAGGCCTTGACTCTGTGTGAGCACTGCTCAGCAGTAACGAAAACATCCCCGTGTTATCAACACAGTTTTCAGCACAAATCCAAACCACAGCCCCATGCTGGCTACTGTGAAGAAAATTAATCCTACCCCTGCCACAACCAGCACAGTCAGTATTTTATTTTGCTATCCGGTACTCCAGCATATTTCATAATAAAAGTGTGTGTAAGATTTAGACAATGTTTGGAAAGTAATTTGTTCAGCAAACTGAATCCGGGGGGGGTGAAAATACATGAAAATATATGTTCCTACTTGAGATTTCTGGTTTTAACTTGTTAAAGTGAACTTCTGCAAATCAGACCCTGTTCTTTTTTGATTGATGTAGTAAATGATTATGTTTTCCTAAAATGTAGTCATCTCTAAATGGCTTTGTTGAGGAAAAAGTGTTATAAGAAATGCAAAACAACATCTGGAGTAAATGTGATTTGTCAGCTCAGCTCTGGATCACCAGCAGCAGTGCAGCAGAATGAAGACCACAGCTGTTTTACTGAATGAAATAAAGTTCCAAATATGACATCAGTGCTTCTGCAAGCAAACAAAATTTTATGAGTACATACTTAATTTTGGTGAATGCTTGCAAAAGCTACATGCTTGAACTGCTGTAAATATCCCTGAAAAAAAACATTAGGGTCTTTATGTAAAAAAAAAGGACAAGCAGAGTCTAACTTCAAAAATCTCCTTGCAAAGTGTTGATTTAATCTTTAAAGGATTAACACAGATGATAGTTTGTTCCTGGATTAAGCCATCGTGATATTATTAGACACTAAAAGTGTGCAAGATAATGGCAATATTAGTTTGTAATCTTTAGATACCTAGGAGTAATGTTTTCTGAGCACCAAAGAAAGCGTAATTACTATTTTCAGGTGACATTCATAAGATGAAGTTGAACAGTTGTTGCAAATTTAAAGCAACGCTGATGTTAGCTGATATCATCAGTGACAGGTGAAACAGATATGAAAGTCCTGAGTTTTGAGAATAACACTTCATAGTATAAAGCATACATTCTGATGTGGCTTGAATTATTACCAACTTTTCAGGACAGTTGGAGATGCCGCGCCTTTGGTCTCTAGGCTTTACACTGGCTCCAAGGTACGGTAATATTTGGCAGCATCCCTCTGTCTTGTCATAATGTATTGCAGAATTGACACTGAGTGTCAGAGATGTGTTACTCCAAATACCAGAGGTTGGCGAGTACAGCAGCAAGCAGCAGCATGTTCAGTTAAGTGAAGAGGCATTTGTTTAAACTTGTTCCGCACAAGTAAAAGCAGAGTGCTGGAACCGTTATGAAAATGCTGTGTGAGAATTCTGATAATAAATGTAGCACACAGAAAAATCTAGAAAAAGTATATTGAAGCAGCATGAAATTCAAAATTATTAACTGTGTTCTTTTGTGTTTGTGGTCTTCTATAGCTGTGTCCTCAGTACTGGCCAGAAAACGGAGTACACCGACACGGTCCTATTCAGGTGGAGTTTGTATCAGCTGATTTAGAAGAAGACATAATCAGCCGGATATTCCGAATTTATAATGCAGCCAGAGTAAGGATGTTATTTGCAAAATAATTTTGTCTCAGTAGATGAGTTGACTCTACTCAAATCACAAAAAATGAAAGTTAAACTCACATAAAACCATTCTCATTTTTCAGCTTATTTATTCGAAAGCAATGTTGCAATACTGACTCACACCATTATAAGAAAAAATGTTTAATTAAAGTAAAAAATGTTTTAATGCATATCTCAAGTGTGTTAAATGCAAATGAAATAAATGCAGTATTCAGAGTGTATGGTAGCCAAGAAATGCTGAAATCAGTGCTGTTTTCAACAGTTTGAAATCAGCCATCTTGCATATTTGTGTTCGGTGTCGTGCGAAGAAAGCTGTGCACCAGCGCTAGGCATGTTTTTCAATACCAGTCCCAGGCTTTTAGTGAAGATCCTGTCCCACTAATCACACTTCATAATATATGTAAGCACTTCAGAGGGACAAGTACGTTCTCATATCCAGCCTTTATGCTCCCATAAAGTTGACAGAAGACTAAACGAGGATGTCTCTCAAGCTGAGTGGAAAAAAGATTCCCCCACAAACAAGACATCTCTTCCCATTCAGACGGAGGGAGCCTCTGCAATGGGCTGGTATTGATCCCCGAAGAGCCTTAGCTAGGAATAAGCAGCACTCCCTGCTGAGAACAGTCAGGAACTGCCTTGAGTTCCGGTAGCATTCAGGGCAGTGAACAACTCCAAAAACACACCCAAAAACATGCTAATACCCAAACCGGGAAGCAGATGGTAAGCTTCAAGATACTTCTTTAATATATGAAGGCCTTGCATTCACAGTAAATGGGGCAACGTAAAAACACAAAGCGCTGGGTCTGGCTGATGTGGTCAGGAGAGAAGGGGCCATCAGCCGAAAGAAACTGGCCAGGAAATCAGTATATTCCAAATTTTGACATAAAGCAGACAAAACCCATTGAAGAACATACCTAATGCTGCATCCACTTTGGTTTATTCCCTTATCTTGTTAATCTTACCTCCTCTCTATTACCTCTTGCTCTAGAGAAAAATTGTAATGTCAACATTTCTGTGTGTTGCTCATTTTAGATGTGGCACGAAAATGCCCTCACTTTGCACAGAAGTGAAAGTGGCCAATCCTAGATTACAAAAACAGTTTTCATGTGTGTGTTTATGCCCTTTTCAAAGGACTCTAATTTTCTGCCACTAACATTTGTTCTATGCTCCTTTTTTATTTTAAATCACCATAAAGCAACTGTTCAGTAATGCTTCACCAGAGGGGTTCTGACTGCTGCAGTAGCACACAATAAAATAAAATGTAGTTAGAGTTTTTATAAGCCGGAAAAATCTGAGGGTTTTGTTTGGTTTTTTAAATGTTTCCTGCTTCAAAATACCTTGAGAGGTTTTGACCTTTCTTGTAAAAAAAGATAGAAGCACGCAAACATTCTTCAAAATGCCGAAGCATATGAAAAAAAAAAAGATGCGTTATTGAAGTTGTGTTGCAGCTCCCTCTTTGCTACCAAGTTCCTGCTATGATATTAATTAATTATTTGCTTGATCCTGCAGCTGTACCATTGCTCTATTCTAGTCTGTTTGTATAGCACTCTGTTTAAAACCTCTTGTTCCAATAACTCTGTTGGAAATTAAAAGTCGTAACTCCTCAAGGGCAGTTGAAATTACATTAGTAGTTTGTCAGCTGTGATCTGCTTGAACAACTTTCTTCACTGATGCAAATATCTAAATTACATACCAAAAAAAATGCTGTTACTTTTTCCTGCTTGCTCTCTGAATCTCTACAGCCCCAAGATGGTTATCGGATGGTGCAGCAGTTCCAGTTCCTGGGATGGCCCATGTACAGAGACACTCCAGTTTCTAAACGCTCCTTCTTGAAGCTCATCCGCCAAGTGGAGAAGTGGCAGGAAGAATACAACGGAGGAGAGGGACGCACAGTTGTACATTGCTTGTAAGTACTCGAAGCGGAAGAGAGAAAGGAAGGGAATACTGTTACAGAATTTGTGCCAGGTTTTAAAACTTTTGTGAAGAGGTATCCGTCTAATCTGGAACTGAATAAATAATACTCCTGCTTACTTAAAAGCTTTGAATACAAGAGGAATTGTATATTTTTTTATGTAGATTCATGAGTTCCCCTCTCTGTCCCTTGGTAGACCCATGTGAAAAGGTGGTGGGTACAAGTTAACTTTTGCAGATAGAAATGTGCATATTTATTCCAAGTAAATCAAAATTGTACCTTCAGAACAATGTACTTTTTATTTCTACAGGTAAGGACTCTAAAAATTAGTAGTATTGGAGGAAGTAATTCCTCATCCAGACAATAAAGCACAGAAGTAATAGTGGTGCAATAGACCAGTTATGATGATGCTTTAATTGCCTTATCTTTCTCTAATAAAAGTATATATTTTTGTCCTCATGTGACCTTTCGTAGAATCATAGAATAGTTTGGGTTGGAAGGGACACTTAGGTCATCTAGTCCAACCCCTCCTACAATGCGCAGGGACATCTTCAACTAGATCAGGTTGCTCAGAGCCTGGCCAACCTGACCTTGAAAGTTGCCAGGACAACGGGGCATCTACCACCTCTCGGGGCAACCTGTGCCAGTGTTTCACCACCCTCATTGTGAAAAATTTCTTCCTTAGATCTAGTCTAAATCTGCTCTTTTTTAGTTTAAAACCATTGCCCCTTGTCCTCTCACAATAGGCCCTGCTAAAAAGTTTGTCCCCATCTTTCCTATAAGCCCCTTTTAAGTACTGGAAGGCTGCAATAAGGTCTCCCCGGAGAGATCTGTTCTCTTCCAGGCTGAACAACCCCAACTCTCTCAGCCTGTCCTCATCAGAAGGCTGTTCCATCCTCTGATCATTTTTGTGTCCCTCCTCTGGACTCGCTCCAGCAGGTCCATGTCTTTCCTGTGCTGAGGGCTCCAGAGCTGGAGCACATTTGTGCGCCACTGCTGCAGGTGCTTATCCACTCTGCCACCATCCTCCTCTTGATAGGGCTTAATACTTGTACATGCCGTTCACCCTCAGCAGTAGCCACTCTTTTGAAACCAAGTCGTAAGTGCTTGAAGTTGTATGCATCTTCCTCTAAATATCTGCTTAAAGATGCTGTCATGATGGAGAGGGGACATGCTAATGGGAAGAGCACATGCTAACGTGTTTTCAGAAGTCAGGAGCCAAGAATAGACGATAACTTCCTGATGTCTAGTTTGCAGTTACTGAATGTTAGAACTATAGAGGAAAATCTAAGAGTGTATTAATAATTCCTACTATCACTGACCTTAAACAAGTCGTTGCTCTTCAGTTTCCCCATCTGTAGAATGGGGATAATAATACTTTCATCAAAGGAGCATTGTGCAGTGTGATTAATTAATGTTTTGAGATCTTTAGCTGAAAAGACCCTTTTGAAGTGCAAATTACTGTTATCTCTGAGGTGGCTGATGATATTAAATAGTTGTACAACATCACACATGCGTCACTTCCAGGCAGTAAAGAAAAAAAAGCTCAAATATAATCCTTTTAAATGACTTTATTTTAATTAAAATTCTCAAAAGAGTCCCACAATATCAGGCAATGTTTTGGCAGCAGAGAGCATTCTTTTCATACTGCCTGGATATGACAGATGTGCGACATTGTAGCTTCCTTTGAAAATCAACCATTTGCGAAGCTGGTTTGAAAGACCTGCTACCTAACTAGCCTGCGCTCTGGTAATTATTAAGGTTTATTATTTTCGGTGAAGCGCAGCCTAAAGCTTCTGATTAGAATAGCTGTAGAAATAATAGGGTTTCCAGAAAGAAAGAGATTCTCTTAAAGATTAAAAATAATCGGGGATAAAGTATTATTAAATACTGTACTTGATCATGCAATTGAACATTTGTGCCTGGCTTCTTTGTTAGCAAGTCACTTCGGGTTCTCATCCTCTGGTACTGTGGGCGGAGGGGGAATACATCCACTTTTAAAAGCAGTCGTTGCCGTGCCGCCAGCCCCTCCGCCTGCTGCCGGGGGTGAGCGCATCAGCCAGGGGAATATGGCAGCACCACCTCGTGCCGTGCCACACGTGCAGTCACCAAACGGCTCCTGCAAAAGAGAGTTTTCGGCGATTTTGCTGTTCCTCCGAAACGCCTTTGGGTCCAGGAGGAAGGCACCAGGATCTGGAATAAAAGAACTCAAAGATCCATTTCCTCTGTAATATTTCCAGGCCTGATGCTCATTGCAACCTTGTGCGTTTACAGTGCACCGGGTTGTTGAACTGAATGTAAAAGTACCTTGTCCTTACTTTAGCATCCTCTTTGTGCTGAATCAAGTGTTTGCTGAAGGGTGGTGCAAAACTCAACCATTCACTTCCCTCCAGGCTTTCAGCCTGCTGAATTCTGAATCATAGCTTTGAGATCTTTCAGCCCATTAATTCCAATTAAAAATCGTGTTCTGCCTAGACTTTGGCAGCCTTCGTGGGGCACCAACGTTCTGTGGTTTCTCCCTACCGGAACTCATGCCTTCCGTAGCCACCCCGGTGCTGTATGAACTTGTAACGTAGAATCAATTGTAACTGAGCCATTTTATCATTTTTATTGTAGGAATGGAGGTGGCCGCAGTGGGACTTTTTGTGCAATCAGTATTGTTTGTGAAATGCTTCGACATCAGAGGGCTGTTGATGTATTCCATGCTGTGAAGACACTGAGGAATAATAAGCCTAACATGGTGGACCTTCTGGTATGAGCTTTTTAACTGCACCGCTAAATAGAAAATGTTTCTTTTTCTCAGAAGACTCAATAAGATTTCCAAGATTTGCAGTGGGAGTTGTTCACAAAGCAAGCAAGTCATTTTCAAAGGGGATAATGAAGTCACTTCACTTGTAAGAGTATTTTTACACTGCTTTCTTCCCAAGGAGACTTTGTCTCCATTTGAATTTTTAAGAGTTTTAAACTTTCAGCCGAACATCCTTATTAATTTTCTTTTCTAGCAGGCTGAGCCAAGTGGAGAGCAGCCCTTGCATGGTAGAAATAATAGTTATGTAAAATGAAATGCCAGATTTTCAAATTATATATTTTATAAATAGCTTAATCGCCTAATATTTATCAAAGCCATGAATTTCAGTTTGACATCCAGAATATTGCATTTAATTATGGTTGCTCTATCTCATAGAAAGATTAAAGAAGTTCAGAAACAAGGGGCCATGTGCAATTATTTTCCTAGAGCGTGTTTTATGAGCATTTTTTTTCTAAAATGGAGAGTTGCTGAAGTGCCAGCTGCTATGCCACAAGAGCTGCAGAACAGCTTAAACCAGCAGGTTCTTACATTCCAGCGTGTAGTTCTGCACTTGGAGATGGGTGTAGCGTGATACCCTATTCTGAAGCTCGGGCTATAAAAGACACTGTTTTACAACATCCTGCTGTAGAGGTGGCTGCTTAAGAGGCAGCTGTATGAATTTAGCGTTGTAGGCAGGAGGAAGCAGCATCTGGGCAGCTTCAGGGATGCTAAACCAATCTGAGCTGATTTTGCAAGCTCTGGTTAAACAAGGTTGGGTCATACTTCAGCACCTTTTCTAGAGAGTGCTCAGGGTGAGGCAGGAGGCATCTCACAGAGCTGGTCCAGCCTCTTGTAATTTTAGAAGAGATGTCCCTCTGAGATGAGATCTGGCTGGGAAACGCTCTGGCGAATGGGCAGAAAGCAGGAATTTCTGTTGGGAAGAGTGGGGCTTTCAGGCTGGTGTACCGTTGGGCCATCCACTTCACCACCACTGCGCCTCATCTGTCCCATAGGAGGACGGCTCCCACCGCCTCGTCTGTCGCAGTGCTCTCATCTAGCCTACCTATGAAGTGCCAGATCCTTCCCTAGACCCTGCTGTGGCCAGGCTCATGGAAAAAAGCCAGATGTTGCCAGATGTGCAAAGCGAGGAGAGAGTTTACAAGCAGCACCACGGGGCTGTGAGCCAGCAACGTGGAACTGTGAATCTTGTATCAGTGAGAAACTATCAAGCTTTCGCAGTGGTGGGAGGGAACAGCTTAGTTGGCTCCTGTTCCTCTAGTTTATATTCTCAGGAGGAGACTCATCATGCTGAGAACCATACATTTTTATTTCCTAGATATTAAGAAAAATGTCCTACTTCTTCATTCAGATAGTATAGGTTGGATAGAGACTTGGCAGGCCTGCTGTTCTCTGTTCTCCCAGAGCTTAAGTCCACAGAACTCACTGATCTCTTATTCATTTATTTTATAGAAATAAAAAGAAAAATACCAATGTGAAGATGTACAGTTGAAGAAAATGCTCTCTATAAATTCCCATTTGTGACAGTTCTCCAGGTGTAGATTTGTCAGACAGCTGTCTCCATTTTTCAGCAGAGAATTTTTTTAATCAAAAGCTAAATGTATTATTTTAGAATATAAAAATAGCTTTTAGTAAATAGGGGATGTTATTGAGAATGTCTGGATGGCACTGAGGTCTTGTAAGGCCTTTTTAATTAGGAGATTTCAAAGCAGTTGTGAAGGAGATTGGTATTGTTTTCCTTATTTTACAGATAGAGGACGAAGGCAGGGGATGATCAGGATTTTCCCCGTTATCACGTAATTCACTGACAAAGCAGAGTTAGAACTACATCTCTTCAGTCATGGTCTGCTACTTTGTAGGAACAAATATTTGAATTACCAAGGTTTCAATTTCCATGTAGATTGTTTCATGGTAAAAGGGAATCGGGACACTTGAGTGCTTTTCCTGATCCTGTTACTGACTTTATCCTTTATGACCTTTCTTCTATTAATGTGTCTTTGCCTCAGTTTCCCTGTCTGAAAAATGAGAATAATGTTCATCTGCCTTTGTAAAATACTGTGATAAAAGGTGAAATGCTCAGAATTATAACAGTATTTCACAAAAATAGTTTCAAGCCTGCTTTATCAAAACCTGTTACGCACTTTCTGACTAGACGAATGGCAATATTTACATTCCACACTTAGCGAGTCCTCTCTTAATTTCATTCATTGAAAACTGGTTTTCCTGCAAGTGTAAAAATCTCAATGCCACATCTATACAATATGGAAATCTACAAAATTCTTCAGCCGTCATACAAAGGTAACACATGGTATTACAAAATGTCTCTTACAGAATGCCCAAAGCGTTCTGTGATAAATGTTATTGGACTACCAGTAGGTGTCCTAGAAAAAACCCATAAATATACCTCTCTGAAGCTAGCTAATGTAAAGAGACTTTTAAGATCCACCATCAAGTGAATAATGAAAATGTACAAAGGACACACATGAATGAACACAGTGGGAAATAATATATGTCTGCTCTTTAAGACAGGTATTGGGTTTACTAAAAATGACATTTATTCTGCTGAATCAGTAAATCAGCACAAAATGAGCGTGGAAAAACAGAAATGGATGAGTGGCTGACCTGTTGTTTTGATCTCTGTTACGTAGTTAGAGAATAATTGTCGTTTATTTAGAAACATATATGCAATAAAAGCATAAAAGGAATAATTTACATAATATGCCTTCTTTCCTTTCTTCTTTTTTATTCTTTTCTCATTCCAAAGATGACACAGGAGTTTATGGAACCCTGCAGGATCTTAAAACCTCATACAATTCGTTTATAACTTAGGCGATACATGCACCTAAGATTTGTTTTCTTTTGAAGTGACAGCTCTCATCAAAAGAACTTCAAAATTGTCTGTGCTTGTTAAGGGCTTTTTGATTGTTGTCATCTTATTTGGTCTCTTAAACGTTAAGGTGGACTCTCCTCTCCAGCTGAAATGTGACCCAAAATCACAACCACAGGACAACAGACTTAATCCTTTAAAATGTTTGCTTCGATGAAAAGGAGAATGTATCTGAAGTGTAATTTTAATCTTCCTACATGTCAAGTTGGGAAGGTGAAGGCTGAGCGCTGTCAGCTGGTTAACTCTGTTGTTGTTACTGTTTAGCAGTACGTGCTCAGGTATCGTTCATTAATTGATTAAGGTGCATAAGAGAAAAAGGCATTTCAGTGGTAGAAATAGTTGTTAAACTGGCAGGTATTCCCAAGCTGAATTTTTAGAAGCCGGAGCACTTGGAATCGGGGAACCCGCACCTACCATTTCTCTCAGCTTTTTTGTTTCATTTAAATGATTGTAGTATTGCAAAATATTGCAAGTAGCAAGAACGAAAAGGGAAGAGGGATACATGTACACGCACAAAACTATGAAGTCATCAGTGACTGCATCATTTAAAGTTGCAGAGGGGGCAAGGGTCAGTCAAAAGCATTGGCCTCTCTCTACCGCTGAAGGTGTGAAGGGGATGAAGTCACGACCCTTCGTCTCTGAAGGGTGCAGGCTGGGTTTCCATGCCACGGGAAGGGGGTTTCCCTGGGATCGGCCCCATTTCCAAGCAGTGGCGAATAAAACCAGCAGGTCTGCGTTTGAAGCACAGGATTGGCACCTGAAAACTTAGACTGGGTAACAGAAGAGCTGTTAGGAGCCTAACTTACGCGTCACCATTAATTGCTAAAAATTAATTGGAGTGAATCCAATTAATTTAGCTCAAGCCTGATCTTACAGACCTATTGCGCTGGGAGAGGACAATATTTAGCCGTGGGTTTGCGCTGCACGTAAAGGGGGAACAGTAAGCAGCTCTTGCCCTGAAATTAGCAAGTGTATGAACGACATTAAAATAAAAGTTACCATCTGGGAAGTACTAGACACTGGGTCTATTTTAGATAAACACTTCCAGGGAGGAATTTCAATACCTCCAATTCTGGTAAAGTGCTACATGAGCATTTTGACAGGTGACAGAAGGGTTGCAAGTCAATTTGCTTATGTGTAGTCAGTTTTTCTCATGCAAGTGTATTAGAGCGACCAAATACGCATCTAATATGAGCAGTGCCATAAGCTACTGTGTAGTGTCTATTGTCTGTTTAATATAAAGATTTTCTCATCTGAATATAAATTGGATTTGCAAACTGGTTCCCACTGACAACAGCTGGTAGTAAATAATTTTAGCAGAAGAGAAATATCGATCCCCTTAATTAAGCTCATTCAATAACTGACTTTGTGGTTTTCTTCTGATTTTTCAGGATCAATACAAATTCTGCTATGAAGTGGCTTTGGAATACTTGAATTCTGGCTGATTGCATAAATAGCACAGACAAAGTTCCTCCTTTCACCACCACAAACAAAGCAAGTCGCTTCATGATATCTGTGTAAATGAGATGAAGACTTCTCAGTGTTATGCTTATACTGCTTTGTATAATTGGCTCTTTTTAAGAGCCCGAAAATATGTCTATAAAACTGCTTGCACTGCCCGTTTCCCACTACAATGCTGCTGCTTGACACCCATATGAACGTACACCAAACCACATGGCAGTTGTTGAACACTGTATTCATACATAGCCATTGATGTGGTGAAGCAGCATAGTCCTCTGGTAAATAAGAGAGCACAATTATATTCTTATGAAGGAATTTGTACTTTTCTGTTATATTTCGTTGCCTGTGATTCTCAGTTATTGTCACAGCCTAGTGTACATTTCTGTTCTGTGGAGAATGCTGTCTGGCATTTTGATAATATATGATTTTAGTTATATTTGTATTCTAACGCGTGCATAATAAATGAATCATATGTAGCTTACCTGAACTAATGGAAAGACACGTACCAAATCATGTTGACTTTGTTGAGTTGTAATTTCTATCCACTTTGTACCATTTCAGAGAGAGAATCTTGATAGAGATACAGTTAGAAAATGCAAAATACAGGATGCTCAGATTAATATATCCAAAGCTTTTTCATTTGTTTATATTGTAAATATTTTTTGATTTCATCAAATTATTTATTCATTAAAATGAATTTTTTTGTGAAGCACAGTGAGTGACAATCATTTTTATTAAGCCCTGGAAATGCTTACTGTATGATAGTGTAAACATTTGTTTACCTTGTATGGATTCTCAGCTCAATAAATAATTACATACATGATAAAATCTCGTTTAATTTAATATCTCTTGGCATCTGAGTGCCTTCAGCTAAGCCTCTTTTCAGATAATTCATGTAGATACCGAGCTACCTCCAGAGCGTATTTATTGTGTGATCCAGCGTTGATCCAGCCAATAGCGAGGTGTGCCGTGCCAATGCATAAAAGAGGTGAACTGTACGTTTAAAGGCGCACGTGCACAAATACAGAACGTGACAACTGTCCTGCCGTGTGAAGAAGAGATGACATCGAGCTTGCGGTACTCAGTCTTGGCACAGCGTTCCTCTGCAGCCCTGGGCACGCCCTGCCAGTCGCTCTCTGTCCGCTGCTGCGAAAGCGGGGACGGTGCGTTTCTTCTTGGGGAGAATGACTGCTGTGCGGGGGAAGTGGTTCCTCATGTTCAAGATACCAATACTAGAATGACGGGGGGAGTTAAAAAGCGAGTAAAACTGCTCCGTTACTAGGGCTGTTACCAGTTCTGCCAGCGGACGAGTTTACATCATTAAAGCTTTTGCCTGTCCTGAGAATGGCTGCACTGCACTTCCACGGCATTTGGACGGTTCCCCTGTCTCCCGGGCATTCAGCCGTGTCTGACCAGCCTGGGACTTGCCTCATGTTCATGGACGCAGGAAGCGCGGCAGCGAAGCAGCGAGGAAGGGGAATGAGCCAGCAATGGCTTGCTGCAACGTCCGCTGGAATTACAGATTTTTCTTTCACCCGGCAGTATCAAGGAGACATTGCAGACAGAGCAGCTGCTCAGCACGGAAGCCTTCCAAAGCTATATGGAAACCCGATGCAAAAAAGCGGCAAACTGCACGGTATTTCAGTCCTTAAGAAGATCCTTTTACTGTGCTAGCCGTCTGGGATGGGGACAGAGCTAAAGAAATGTATCAAAGTCAAAATGTTTTGAGAGCCTCTAAATCTAAGAGATCCAGCTTGGACAGAATGACTCACAGCTTGTCAACTGCCCACTCAAAACCACTGCAAAATTCAGATACGAAGACGCAAGGATAGGCTTCCTCTGCAGCTGGGAAGCATCTCTTTTAAAATCACTTTAAAATGTAGCTGGCAGCTACCAGCCATTGCTATAAATTGCACAGAGGTACTGAAGAACTTAGGAAAAACAACTCCAGCCCTGAGGAGGATGATGGTCCTTGGATAAACCCTATGGCGCTTCAGCCTGTTGCAGGAAACGCTGTGATTCATTGGGAAACCTTAGTGTTAGGAAACAAAATCCAAACCTCTAGCATCATATTCCTCACAACCAGCTTGACAGACCAGGTATGCCAGCCAGGCTTGCTGCTTTGGAGTAATTGTGGGACACTAAAATTGGATTTCCACCATGTATTGAAATAGGCAAGTATGTGTCCAGTATTTCCTGATGCTTTCAAGAAGTACAAGACAGAGAGATAAGCGTGCTGAAGGAACCCTAGGGCAGAAGGCGGTGCAAGCAGTGTGATCCCACATGTAAATGAGATTTACTGAAATGCAGCAAGAATCATGGCAATCTCTCCCAAGGAGGGAGACTGCCAGTGTCTCCCAGACATTGTTTCAGATGCTGAAAACACTCTTGCAGACATACTTTGCACAGGTAGGTCTTGGGAGATGAGCGAGGGCAGGAGACAAGGAGGAGGGAGTTCTATAGTGTTTCTTACTGGTTTACTGTTGGTATGACTTTTTTTTTGTTGTTCTTCTGACATAGGCATAGTCAAACCCGTGTTACAGAGTCCGTGTGATGTTGTCCCAAAAGGCGTTCTGTGAATTACAATGCCTTAAAGCGGGAGCCATCTAAAGGAAGCACAGCAAGCAGATGTGTCCTCACTTTCATACTACAGCTGTCAATCAATACAAATGACACAGAAATCCAGGCTTAGGTAAAACAATATTCTGTCAAGAAGAAAAAACAGATGAGGACTTCAGGAGCCAGGAATAGAGGAAGCCTAAGGAATCAGAAATGAGCAGAAAGAAGAGATGAACATGGGAGGCAGGTATACAAGAAGCAGCATGGACCTTATGAAAGTTACCTAGAGGGTGGCATTTTAGAAAACAGCAGTGACAGCCATTTCAAGTGTTCATAAACCAGCCTCCCTCCTCCTAAAAGTTACACAATTACAAGCCCAGTACAGCTGCAGGATTCACAGAGACATCAGTCCTAGTTTGGGAGGAACAGAGGAAGGGATGATTTCTTCGATCCCCAGTATATAAGACAAGACGTACATAAATGAATAAAGAGACACTTCAAATGATTAGCCATATGATTTGCCAAATTCATAATCCCTCCGGCACTTGCAGTGGATGATTTTTGCTAAGCTTTTCCAAAAGAGCAGCAATGGGAATGGTGAGAGAGGTGATTGCGTGGAGGTATCTGTCCCTCTTAACAGCAGTACTCCCAACAGCTTCCAGGGCTGCTTTATCAGCAAAATGAGTCTGTCACTGGCAGGGTAGTTTCACAGAGTACTAACACAAAGTTTAAGGATTACATTTAGTAAGATTAAAAAAATAAAGCATAGAAAATGCGGTTGATGCTAAAATACAAAACCTTCCCACTCACCTGTAAGTGAGGCTTGAAGGCACTATGCAGCATCAAGACCACCTTCATTGTTCGATTTCTCCTTCAGCTGGTTAGGACTCATCTTTAGTATCTCTGAAATGATCGCTTCTTGTTTCACTGTATGTGGGTGTTCCCCCAGGTCTAACAATTTACTGTATATAGAATCATAGAATCACAGAACAGTTTGGGTTGGAAGGAACCTTTAAGGGCCATCTATCCCAACCCCCCTGCAGTGAGCAGGGACATC